TTAAAATGTGAAGTTCAGGGTCTTAAGGTGGCGCCGTAAAATCCAAGCAATAACATGACACGTGTCTGTTGTCACCCATCGCCTCCACCTTTACTCACACGAGGAGCTCCAGACATGCGCAGTGGTTTCCTCTGAGCAGGAGAAGATGTCTGTGTAATCGTCAGTAATATAATAGCGCTGCATAAATCATAAGATATGGTGACATGTAAAATCAGCAGCGCTTCGCTTTCACAGACGGTGGGGACTTCGTCCAACTTAAGCCACTAGTGGCCAAAAAAAAAAAAAAAAANTTGTCTTGGTCTCGGGTTAGGTGGTCTTGAACACAACACTGCTGTCACTGTTCCTTTCTTCTACCTTTTGAGAAAAAAACCAGGTCTTTTATAACACCTCTCAATACCTCATTCCTTAAATTGACTTATTATTATTATTATTATTATTATTATTGCACTAAGTTGCTTAGTAAATGATTGGTATTGGGTACTTTTCATCCACAGTCATGAAGTAATTGGGACAAGTGATTACACATTTTTTTGCTAAATTGGTCCTTTTTAAGATAAATCTTCTTTCATTTGAGATTTTGTGTTAATCTAATGGAACAAAAGAAGCCATAATGAAAGTTACAATATGAACTTTCAGATTTAAATCCATACTTCATGAAAATAATACAAGCATATAAATCATTTACTCCTCAAGCATTGAAAAACATGCAATGGTTTTTTTGCAAGCTTAGTTTGAATGATCAACAAATGCATCAGAAACAATATCATTAATGAATTTAAATATTAAAAGACTACAGTTTTATTATTTTTATTCACATGAGTTTTTACACAGTGGAGACTCTGAAGCACATTCATTATAAATTGGCAAATGACAGGAATTTAAAGAAAACAACAACTTTAAACCGGAAATCAGGTTCTAAGATAACGCTCCCCAAACAAACAACAAAGCAAGTTTAAGGGACATGTATAAAACTTTTGGTAATCTTCAGAAAAATACATCTATCATAGTTACATTTCTAATGTAATAAAACACACATTCTCACTCCTGTTATTAGTTTAAGTGAAAAAAACATTGAGTGTTCACTGGAGCTACCATTCAGCTGCTTCAAATACCCTTCAGATGACCGAGCCAGCGGAGCTGCTGTTATAATATTGAACATACCTTGATTGTAACCAAGTCATTGTTTGTACCACTGTTGCTTTTCTGTCATTTCAAAGCAGTCTGCACATTTTCTTCTAACTGTGACATCAAAAGGTATTTGAAGTTCTGCTCACTGGGTCATTTTTCTGTTTTTGGGTCCATTCACTGTACATCAGAGCCAAACCCATCCGGCACTATCAGCACTGCCACATTCAAAGGATGATTTTTGGTCAGGTACTGAGTGGCTCAGTTGGTAGAGCAGGTCCACCATGTGCAGAAGTTTTAGTCCTGAGTTTTATTCCTGTCTTTTCCTTCTCTCTCCACCTTTTTCCAGTCAAACTTTTCAGGTCACTCGTTCTTCAGAACGGCGTGATTCTAACGCTCAGTTCTAACACTAGACACCTTGATGCATTCAGTTGATGCAATGCGGTTTGTTAATCTGCATTTTGATCTAACAAGCAGTTCAACAGGAGTTCCTAAATAAAAGGGCTACTGACTGTGTTCTCTACTTGTCTCAGCAGTTGGGGGGGATATGCATTATTTAAAAAAAAAAAACAAAAAACGATTTTTTTCCCCCAATTTGCAATCAAAGAGAACAAAACCTGTAACCTTCATAAGTCATTTTTATCAGAAGTGTTTTGTTTTGTTTTTTAACCTAAAACATCTTTTGGAAAAAAAAAACAGGTGCCGACTCCTAAAATAATGACTTATTATTTCAGGAAGGTGACGATAAGCAAACAGCAACAACATGCATTCAAAGGAAGTTTGAATAGGACACCCAATTGTTAAAAAGCTACATTTACTACAGACCACTCAAAGCAAACTGCGTCATCAATGTGCATGAAATTATGGGATTCAAAGAAAACTTTTATTTATGTAAACTCTAGATAAAGCCTTGAAGTGCCTGCAATCTTAAAAGGGAAATATGATAATTTGCTGATGAATTATGTGCAAGGTCAGCCTATGACGATAATGAAGAGTTTCATAGCAAATTTGTTTTTGTGTTGTTTTTTTGTGTAGTATCTGTTGGCAGTGGAAGTTGCAAAAAGCTAACATTTGAGCTTTTTTCTCTTGAGTTTGTGACATATTTAACATCTTAATGTACTGGAAAGCAATTCTTAAAAAATCTAGACAAAATAAGAAAAGTTTCTAACTGAGAAAACTTGAGTCACAAGCTCTTTGTTTGACAAAGCTTCACATGGCCAAATTAATTTTTATTGCCCATAAAGGAGCCAAAGACTTTTCAAAAAGCTTGAAAATAACTTTTTCAAGCTTTTTGAAACTCTTTCAGTCTTTTTTTTTTTTTTTTACCTTGCAGCTTTTCTTTTCTGTTCAGTGCTTGTACCTGATGAAATCATGTTGTGCAATTTGTACTCAAAGGAACATGTCAGGCTCGACAATCTATCAACAGCACATGAACAGGAGGTCAGATCTTTGGGAAATAGCATCAGTACAGCCTGAATGATCGTCCTTCAGGAGCCCATCTACTAAACTGAAGGATTTGGTTGGTCAAATTCTGTCTTTATGACAAAGCGCTGATAAGACAGCATGCCTGAATGAATTATGCATTCTAAACGTTCTCTTTACATGATCAAAGGGTCTGAAGAGTAAAAAGGCAGTTATTCTCCATAAAGAAACTCTATTAGATTTTAAAAGGAAATACTGTAGTTCACATTACTTTGAAAGATTACAAACCCTAAAGCCTCCTTGAAAGAAAAACACAAATAAAATGTAAGATTTTTGCAATAAGGCTATGTTCACACAGTTGGTCTCGATGTTAAATTCCAATTTTTCTGCTGAAATCTGATGTGTTTTTTTTTTCTTTTCAATTAAATCCTACCATTATGAGAGCAATGAGAGACAACAGTATCACCATAAGATCACTCAAGACGAAGGAAGATGATAAAAAGAAAGCAGAACCAGTAACAACGGCCTTCAGAGGAAGGTTATCTGTAGAGAAGTCTGTTTGGCTCTGAGACAGAAACAGGAGTGGTGGGATTGGGACGATGTGCTTCACTAACAGACTTCCTTGATAGTTTTGTAATTATAATTTTCAGCCATTGTTTACATCTGGATTTTGTATATGGGACATGTTTCACATCAACAGTGTGAGAGTGGCTTAAAATGGAGCATGACGTTCAGACTGCAGACGCTTTGAAAACAATCGGATCCATGTAAAATTTAGTGCCACATATCGAAGAGGCGCCAATGAGATGTTTATTTTTTGGGTGAAAATATCCAAATTCAGACTGCAGTAAGAAAGGTAGATTTTGGTTGCATTTTTCAGATGTGTGAACTTAGACTAATACCTGCTAGAAAACCTCAAACAGGATCAGCAATCCTACAATTTGCATCCAAACATAACTGCAGACGGTCCACATGAACAAGAGTTTTACCTAAAAACAAAAGACTCATTATGTCCTATCCATAATAGTTGTGATAAATCCATGCAAAATTTAATCTTAAACATTAAAAGTGTTTTAAACCAGTTTTCATTGTAACATATATGACACACTTACAGTGCCCTCAATGTTTTCACACCCTTTGAACACAGTTTGTCATGTTAGAATCACAAACTTACAGAATTTCATGTCACATCATAGATCATAATTTACAGAAGGAAAGTGATACATAATTTTCACGGTGCTAATTAGTTTTCTAGTTAAATCTGTTCTCCTGACACCATAATGCTGCCACCATCGTGTATCACAGTGTGTTTAAGATGATGTCCAGTATCGGTTATATAGTTTGTTGGCCACAAAATTCACAGTTTGCTCTTATTTTGACCACCGCAGCTTCTTCCACCTGGCCTGCCGACTTGACTTTCTTTTAACATTGTTTTCTTGCCACAGGTCCAGCACAGCTACATCTTTGAAATTCATCCATCCATCCATCCATTTTCTGTCACTTATCTGGGGTTGAATTGCGGGGGCAGCAGCTTCAGAAGGGAGGCCCAGACTTCCCTCTCCCCAGCCACTTCTTCCAGCTCCTCCGGGGGAACCCCAAGGCGTTCCCAGGCCAGCCGAGAGACATAAGTCCTTCCAGCGTGTCCTGATTCTTCCCCAAGGCCTCCTCCCGGTGGGACGTGCCCAGAACACCTCACCAGGGAGGCGTCCAGGAGGCATCCTGACCAGATGCCCGAGCCACCTCAACTGGCTCCTCTCGACGTGGAAGAGCAGTGGCTCTACTCTGAGTCCCTTCCCCCTGACCCAGAGAAGGCACTCTACCCTTTTCCGGCTCAAGACCATGGCCTCGGATTTGGAGGCACTGAGCCTCATCCCAGCCGCTTCACACTCGGCCGCGAACCGCTCCAGTGAGAGCTGCAGATCACCATCTGATGAAGCCAACAGGACGACATCATCCGCAAAAAGCAGAGATGTGATCCTAAGGCCACCAAAACGGATCCCCTCAACACCTCGGCTGTGCCTAGAAATTCTGTCCATGAAAGTAATGAACAGAATCGGTGACAAAGAGCAGCCTTGGTGGAGTCCAACTCTCACCGGAAACGAGCCCGACGTACTACTGGCAATGCGGACCAGACTCTGACACCGGTCATACAGGGACCTGACAGCCCACATCAAAGGGCCCGGTACCCCATACTCCTGGAGAACCCCCCACAATTCCCTCTAGGGATACGGTCAAACACCTTCTTCAAGTCCACAAAACACATGTAGACTGGTTGGGCGAACTCCCATGCACCCTCCAGGACCCTGCTGAGAGTGTAGAGCTGGACCAGTGTTCCACGACCAGGACGAAAACCACACTGCTCTTCCTGAATCCAAGGTTCGACTATCCGATGGAGCCTCCTCTCCAGGACCCCTGAATAGACCTTACCAGGGAGGCATAAGAGTGTGACCCCTCTGTAATTGGAGCACACCCTCCGGTCCCCCTTTTTAAACAGAGGGACCACCACCCCAGTCTGCCAATCCAGGGGAACTGCCCCCGATGTCCATGCAATATTGCAGAGTCGTGTGACCCAACACAACCCTACATCATCCAGAGCCTTAAGGAACTCTGGGCGGATCTCATCCACCCCCAGGGATGAGATCCTCCATATACATATACATAACTCCAATGTGAGACGTGGATGTCTGCAGCTCCTCCAGAGATACCACGGGCCTCTTTGCTGTGTCTCTGAATCCTGGTTTCCTTCCCCAGCCTCTGATTAGGTAGATTATGATGTTTTGGAAAGTGTGCAGCTTTGCCATATTTTTGCACATTTTAGAAAGAATAGTGCTCTGTGAGATGCAGCTCTAGTCATGCTGAAATAGACCAACACCACGACTCATGTTAGCATTTGGCTCCACTAGATTTTTTTAGAGACCTCAGAATTTTGGAGGCTCAGTACAAATGCAGGCTTTACAGATTATGATTTGTTAGAAATTTGACTTTTACTTCCTTATGCATCTCTTAGATTTGATCTAGCCCAAATAAATACACAGAAGCTTCTGACTGTAACATGACAAATGTGTAAAAGTGGGGAAAAAAAACCCGCGAGGGACTGTACGTTTTGAGTCGGCAAATAAATACTACCCCTGTTCTCAGAGGTTTGTTGACTTGAAGTCAGTGCAGTCCCTGTCGTCATCTTTTTCTTTCTCTCTATTTTTGGAGGATCTATATCTGACGCCGAGGGGCCGGTAACATTTGACCACAGACAAAAAGGCCATCCTGTAGTTGTTGTTCATCCACCCATACAGGATGGGATTGACGCAGGTCGAGCACATGGCCATGATGTGGAACACGGTGAAAACCAGCTTAAAGTCTTTCATATTCAGCACACTGTTATCAATGTCTATAGCCAGTTGGAATGCATGGAAGGGGAGCCAGCTCACAGCAAAGACCACCACCATGGTCAGCATCATCTTGGTGGTCTTCTTTCTTCGCTGGTTGTCATTGCGGCCACATATCATGTGTTTTTTCAGTTTGTTCCATATGCGGATGTATGCAACAGAATTGATGAGCAACGGTATGACAACCTGGACCACCAGCATGGAGAAGCTGTAGATCTTTCCATTCATGCTGCTGTCCGGCCACTTCTCTGCGCACACCTGCAGGGTCTCTTCGGTGGAAATGTTAAAGGACCCAAACTCCCTGAAAATGGCAAGCGGGCTGGCCAGCAAGGCGCTGAGTGCCCACGTGATGACGATGACCACGGCACACATGTCTCTGGACATCTTGGTATCCATGTGGTGGACGATGCTCCTGTGGCGGTCCAGAGCGATGATGTTCAGAGTGATGGTGGAGACGTGTACAGCCATGCCTTGAGCGAAAGGCAGCAAAAAGCATAACACCTGACCAAACAGCCAGTCGTCATAGAGAAGGTAAACAAGAGTGAAAGGCAAACACAGCGTGTTCACCAGCAGGTCAGCCACAGCTAAGTTCACGATGAAGAAGTTGGTCACTGTGCGTAGGTTTTTGAATTTATAGACAACATAAATCACCAAGGAGTTTCCAGTGACTCCAAACAAGATGATTGTGCTGTAAGAGAGGATGAGGACAACTTGAACTCCAACCAGCTTTGTGCTGTCATCCAACGTCCAGGGGTTCTCTTCAATACAGCAGTCGAAATGTTCATCTTCAAATGTAAAATGCTCCTTTTGAGTCATGTTTAGTTCATCCTCATTCATGGCTAACAGCCAGCCTGTAGAACAAATATTGAATCATTAGTTGGACCATTAAAGATTTCAGTCCTATGGTTTTAATGAACATATACAGGCAAAAATAGAATTCACTGTAAGCCTGAAAAGTTTGAAGTTAAAATAACAGTAACTCACCAGCTTTATTCATGCCTAAATAAAACATTTTAAAGTTACAGTATGCAACTTTTACAAAAATCTGTTTGTTGCATATTTTTTAAATCTGTCACTATATCCTGACATAGTGACAGATTTAAAAAATATGTAATGTCCTGACATAGTGACAGAACATTTTCAGTTTATCAGACAGATAATCTGTGAATAGATCAAGCTCCTTCACCTCCTCTCACTGCTGCAATCTGCAGAAATGCAGTCAAAAACAACCATTCAGAGCCAGGAGGAGGGGCTTAGCGTTGTCAATCATCCTCACGCAGGCGCTGCTAAATATGCTAATGGTGGAGAAACAACTTACCTTTACAGGACAAAACGTAGTCACTGTCATTGGTGGCCATGCTAACTAGCCTTACCATTCACATCAGACTCCATTGTGATGAACCATCTTTTGCGTAGCAGAAAGCCGAGGGGTTGTGGGGAGCTGTGAGCAGGGGTGATTGACAGCACCAAGACCCACCTCCTGGCTCTGATTGGTTGTTTCTGATTTAGCAGTGTATTTGTTCAGATGACAGCACATCCACAGGGAGAAGGCAGAGGAACGCCTTTTTTTTCACAGATTATTTGTTTTGAACTGTCACAACATAGGTTTTGACAGATATGTAGAAAAATAAATAAAAGTTAATACTGTAGTTAATACTATGAAAAAAAATTTATTTGGCCCCTACATTAAACTGTTGTTGTTATGAAAGCTTTTTGGCCAAATGGGAAAAATACATGATAAACATTTACTGTAAAACATTTGGAGCTATGGAAGTTATTTCTGATAACCTCATGGCCACGTTATGGCAGACGTGAATAAAAATATATAACTATTTATACACAACAAATTACACAAAGACTGCTGTGATTAACTGTCTGTATGCTGTCTGTTGTAATAGCGGTTGTTAAGAACAGCTTAATGATGTTACCAACATATGCTCTTTCACTTTGGCAAAAGTTGTGAGCTGTTTTATGATTTAGTTAGAGTTATGCTTATGAATAACATGACAGTGTGACAACCCAGCTTATTTGTGTTTTTGTCTCTAGATATAGAGGCTTTTCAGACCATTTATGAAACATTTACCTAAAAGGTTTTGACAGAAGAAGCTGTTTCAGTAACTGCTACCTAGTTTGAAAAGTCAGGAAATAAACAGATCTAGATGCTCCATATAAGAGAACCTTGAAAGCATTGTCTGAAACTTTTGCAATTATTAGTCAGACAAAATTTGCATAGCTGACATATGTGTGGCATTTTGTATTCTTAATATGTTCACTTATAGCCACATGTTAAAAACAACACCAAATACTTTGGTGAAAGTGATTTTTCTTGGTGACCTGATATCAGGATTAGATCAGAACCTGAAAATTCCTGCACCTGAGCATATCTAGTATAAACTGATCTACATTATGACTGCAGTACATGTTACAGTTCTGTTGGACACCAAAGGGCATTTAGGACAAACATTTTTGTTTTAGCTCATAACAACTGAGAAATGACAATCAAAAACATTCTGCTTCTCTTTAGCCAAAAACAGCAGACTATTTTTTTCTGAATTACTAATTGTGTTGTTTGTTTGTTTTTACTTGTGGGGTATGAATAATAAAATATAAACACATTTTAAGGTGTATTATCATATAAAGCTGCTGACATTAAGGCAGCTTTTAGTGTGAAAACCGCTCTCCAGTGACTTACTCTAAATTGCTTCAGATAGAGAACTGTTGTCATTATGATCATTTTGTTGTTAAAAGAGCAAAAATGATTTACATTGTTAGCAGTTAGGGATTTAAAGCGTGAATGGGTATGATTGTCTTAATGATCTCACATTTCATAGGAAGAATAATTCTTGCACAAAATTAAGAATCGTTAAAACGATTTAAAAACCCAAATTGCCTGTTCAACATCGTACTGGACAGCGAAGAGTGTTTTTAGGTTGTCATTAAATCCCAAATAGGTCTAAATCACAGGCTGATAATCTATGTGAGGAAATGATACTTTAAAATCAATGAAATTCTCACACCAAGTCCTCTAATAAATGATATAATCATTAATGGTCATATTATTTTTAGCCCGTCAACAATTAGTTCAGGGTAGTTTATATACTGAATCAAGACGATTGATTCAGCTTCACAATCACACAGAATTGCCAAAATAATAATAATAATAATAATAATAAAAATAATAATAATAATAATAATGTGTGTATATATATATATATATATATATATATATATATATATATATATATATATATATATATATATATAAAATATATATATATAAAATTTTGCCCAATAAAGTGAAAGTATAACCAGGCTTAAATACTGGAACTTACCAGCATAACCAAAGGTTTTCTCCTGATATGAGTCATGTGGTCATTTGTTACAATGAATAAGTAAATGAACTTACCTCAGTGAAGCGGTATTCTATTTAGATTCGGGCCATTGTTTGCACTTCTTGTAAACTTTTGTCTTAGTTCCCCAGCTGATAAAAACGCGAATAAAACATTATAAGCTTGATTGAACAGCAACTGATCCGCATCCGTCTTCCGATGGTGGTCATGGTGCGCGCAGCAGCGCAGCCGAGCGGCGCGCAGCGTCTCCCCTCTGCGCACTGCGGTCCGGTTGGCATTGACAATGTCTCGACTGCCTTTTGTCGCTGAGAGGAAAAAGATGAGGCTGTCTGAATTACAAAGTGGAAACGAATGGAGAAGTGATAGTTCTTTGCATCACAAAGAGTCGTTTTCTATACGCTCCTCTTCGTGCAAGTTTGCAATATAAAAACTCTGAAGGGAAAGCTGATGCAAAGCGCTGTAAAACCCCATCCGGTTGAGAACATGACAATACGTGCAGAATACGAAATTGTAATGCTGCAGCGCAATATAATGGAAAATATGTCAACCTGTAAAGTTTATTTTAAAAATCAAAGATGTTTTATTCCAGATTAGAAGATCCCAACATTTAAAACAAAATGCTTGATTGTGCCGTTTTTTAATTTGAATGAGAAAAATTTAATCCCAATTTAAGAATTTGCTGCAAAGGGAGGCTGAAATGTTTCAGGAATGTCTCAAATGGAGACTTGGTTAACCAAAAGTTTAATATCTGTTTAATGTTTAGTTACATTTCAGAGAAGGAAACGTTAGGAACAAACTTCAGTTCTGGAGGTTTGTTCCTCACAAACCTCCAGAACTGAATTAAAAATTATTTTTTTATTATTGGTGTGATGTAGCATATAATTGTAAATATCATATTTACAATTAGAAAAATAATTGTAAATATTATTTACAATTAGATGTAAATATTATTTACATCTAATTGCACAAATGGTTGGAGTTAATAATCAGATACAAAAATGTTTTGGAGGAATTTTTTGGTTTCTGACACTATTGCATGATAAAACACTCCCCTGGTCAAATTGACCCACGAACATTATCGCTGTACCTCAGAAACGAACATAACAGGAGGGTTAAACATTTGTAGAACATCTTTAGAACAATGAAATGACAATTTTACAACAGGAATGGTACAATGTGAACGTTCATTGTGTGTGTGTGTGTGTGTGCGTGTGTGTGTGTGAGTGTGTGCACGCGCATCCATTTTCTGTTTATCCGGAGTCAGGTCATGGGTGCAGCAGCCTAACTAAGGAGGCCCAGACTTCCCTCTCTCCAGCCACTTGTTCCAGATCCTCTTGGGGAATCCCAAGGCGTTCCCAGGCCAGCAGAGGAACATCGTCTCTCCAGTGTGTCCTGTGTCTTCCCCTGGGTTTCCTTCTGGTGGTACGTCCCTAGAACACCTCACCAGGAAGGCGCCCAGGAGGAATCCTGACCAGATGCCCCAGCCACCTCAACCGGCTCCTCTCGATGTGAAGGAGCAGCAGCTCTACTCTGAGTCCCTCCTGGATGACAGAGTTTCTCACCCTATCTCAATGGAGAGGCCAGACACCCTACGAGGAAAACTCATTTCAGCCGCTTGTATCTGTGCCCTCTTTCTTTTGGTCATGACCCAAAGCTCATGACCATAGATGAAGGTAGGAATTAGATTGACCAGTAAATCGAGAGCCTCGCTTTTTGACTCATCTCTCTTTTCATCAGCTCCATTTTTCCCTCATTCCTAAACAAGATCCTGAGATACTTAAACTCCTCAACTTGGGGCAGGAGATCCTCCCCGACCTGGAGAAAGCACTCTATTCTTTTCTAGCTCTGTATTTTTCTGTATTTATTCATACAGCTATGAATTTATATATAATTTATTGAGATGATAAAAGAAAGAACCTTGAATACATTGATCAACAGGTTTTGCATGTCATTTATCACATTCTCTTTCCTTTGGTTGGTTTTCTCACCCAGGGTGTCAGACACACACAGATCTCAGATTTTTACATGTATGGTGGAAAAGAGGACAAATATAAAACTTTAATTTATACACATTTATTGACTAACA